TCCAATGTTCTATTGGTAGCCAATGCAGTTGTTGCAGAATCGGTGTAATATGGGATCTTATAGATGATCCCGTTAACAGCCTGGCCGCCGCATTTTGGACCATCTGAATCTTCTGGGTTATTGACTTCGGAAGGCCGGCATATAAGGCTTTGCAATAGTCCAACCTCATGGTGACTATTGCGTGGATTACCGTTGCCAATGCTTCTACTGAAAGGTAGGATGCCAATTTCCTTGCCTGGCAAAGATGAAAAAAGGTCTGCTTACTTATGGCAGTGATGTGGGCCTCCATCGTCAGCAATGAGTCCAACACAACCCCAAGGCTTTTAACTGTGGCAGACGAACCAAAGCTTCCCCATCGAAATCAGGCAGAGACTGGATTAATTCTGGCGGCTGGCCGGGCCAGAGTATTTCAGTTTTTGCAGGATTCACTTTTAGTCTGCTCGCTCGCAGCCAACTCATCACTGCTTCCAAACACAGCTTAAAGTTCTCAGGAATCGTGGTTGTCCCAGGTTCGAGACGCAAGAGTAGCTGGGTATCATCTGCATACTGGTAGCACTCTATGCCAAAGCTCCGCACCAGTCCAGCAAGTGGCCGGACATAGATGTTAAATAGCAGGGGCGAGAGGATAGCACCCTGGAGAACTCCACAACAAAGGCAGGAGCTCTCCAAGCTTTGGCCTAACCACTCCACCCTCTGTCTCTGGTCCCGGAGGAACGAATTGAACCATTTAAGGGCTAAACTTCGTACACCAGACATAGCCAATCGATGAATCAGCAAGTCATGGTCCACGGTGTTGAATGCAGTTGTGAAGTCCAAGAGTACCAATAGCGCTGATCCGCCTCAGTCTAACTGATGGTGAATTTCATCAGTAATAGCTACCAAGACAGTCTCTGTCCCATGACCTGAACGAAAACCTGATTGAAAGGGGTCCAAACCCGCAGTCTCATCTAAGAATTGCTGTAGCTGCCCCACCACTGTCCGTTCAATCACCTTGCCCAAAAACAGAAGGTTTGAAACTGGGCGATAGTTACTAGGTATGGTGGCATCTAGACTTGATTTTTCAAGAGAGGGTGGACCACTGCTTCTTTCAGGCAATCTGGAAAAATTCCTTGCTCCAAGGAACTGTTGATGATGCTCCTTAAGGGATCTCGTAGTCCCTCCCAGCACTCCTTAACCAACCAGGAGGGGCAAGGATCGAGGGAGCAGGTAGTTGGTCTTGCTGCAGCTAGAGTCTTTTCCAGGTCTTCCATTTCGCCTCTAGTTCCCTCGATGTGTCCTCTGTGGGAGGTAGCCCTTCACAGAGCAGATTGATCTTATTTATAAAGTCTCTGCTGTAATATCTTGACTAGCCACATCTTTGGCCGGATGAGTTGGATTTGTGATGTTACGAACAATTTTAAATATTTGAGCAGATCGAGATCTGGCAGAAGCTATCAATGAGGAATTATATTCTTTTTTAGCCTCTCTGGTGGCTACTTCGTAGATTTTTCGATGTATTTCAAAAGCCGACTTAGATGTTTCATCAGGTTTCTTGTGCCATTTACGTTCTAATCTCTTCCGCTCAAGTTTCATCTGTCATAATGCATCCGTGAACCATGGAGATGAGGACGAAGAGTCCGTTTAGGGGCAACTATATCTAAGGCAGCTGATAGATTTTTGTTCCATTTTTCCACTCGTTCACATAGAGAATCAGCGGTGTAATCCAGTTTTTAAGGAAACTCGAAAGTTTATAGGATCCATCAGCTTCCTCAGCCGCACGAAAATTTGTTCAGTCTCCGGACGCTGTGGTGGTGGAATCTCTATTTGAGTGTTCAGGATATAGTGGTCAGACCAAGGAATCTCTAAGACTGAGGATAGTCTCACTTGTATTCCGATACTAAAAATCAAGTCCAAGGTGTACCCAGCTCGATGAGTAGGACCATTAATGAGAAGCCTATTGTTTCCATAGATTGTACTAGGTCCCTTGCTATCGAAGACAACAACCTATCTGCATGTACATTGAAGTCTCCCAATACGATGAGACTTGGGAACTTCAGGGCCCAGACCGCCACAAAGTCTAATAACTTGGGGATGCTCTCGTTCGGGGCCCCAGGGGCCCGATAAACTAAGAGGATAGTCACACTTTCCCTAGTAGCCAATGTCAAACCTATACATTCGATACCCATAATATCTGGGGTAGGAATAGTTCTAATGGAGAAATGATTGCGGGCTACTATTCCCACCCACCCCTCCTCTTTCGAGATCTTTGAAGCATCTGGAAACCTGAAGGTGTTAGTTCATACAAGGGAATATTATCTCCTTCTCGTATCCAGGTTTCTGTAATGCATACCACATCTGTCTTCTGATCAAGAATAAAGTCTTTTCACTGTATAGGAAGTATGAAAGAGGAAGATGATATAAAAATGTTAGTTTCTTCTAATTTTCTGTGCTTCCTATCTTATCAGTAACCTGCTTCAAAACATGAATTAGGTGCCTTTTCTTAAAAGAAACAGAAATATAACTGACAATGCGCACACAATCTGTAGAATGCAATTATATACTATACCTTTGTGGTGTGATCTCTGCTGCCATCATCAACCACAATGATCTCATATGTGAATGCAGGATCTTGTTTCTATAAAAGTAAGAAGAAGGGTAGTTTGAGAACCAGTGTGAAGAAAAAGTTAAAGTGTGGGATTGCAATTTGGAAAATCCACGTTCAGGACTAAGTAAGCCATGAAAGCTTATCTCAGCCTTACCAATCTCACAGAACTGTTGTGGTGACAAAGTAGAGGGGAGGGCAGTTGTGCTGTTTTGAGCACATTACAAAAGGCAGAAATCATCATCATCATCATCATCATCATCATCATCCAGACCTGGTATAATATGCTCTTTTATAATAATAATCAGAACACCAAAAAAAACCCTTAAGAATATTTTCATTAGATACTGAAAAAATAGTAATGTCAAAGCACTACTTTAAATACCTGTCTCTTTTCCAGATAGTTTAAAGCTTCATCCATCATTGATGGCACTGTAAGAAAAAGTGGAGGAGAGAGAAGGAAGTATCTAGTTTAAGTAAAACTGCATTAGTGGGATGAGGGAGACAAATGTAAAGCATGTTGTTAGCATACAGACGTAAGGAAAACAGGAACTTTATCTTACACCGTTTTTCCTCATTATACGAAGGCACAACTATGGAAAGTTCATGTGTTGGAAGATCATGGAGGTTTGGCACAGGTTCCTTCTTATCTTCGGCATTCAGAAAAAACTTTTCATCCTCATGTCTATAAAGGTTTGGCAACGTTGATGCAGTTATATGTGCAATAAAAGCTGTCTGGGAGGGAAGAAAAAGAAAATGTGAAGCTATTTAATGTCATGCAATGTTTACAGAGGAAAAAAATTATTTTTTGTAGTGTAGGCAGAATCTACACCAACACAAATTTATTTATTTAATTATTTAGAACATTTACATTCCATCCTATTCTCGACTTCCAAAGAGGGACTCAGGGCGGCTAGACAGTTCTTGTTGACAGTTCTTGTACTGTCAAGATTTAAGAACAAAACAATAAAAGTTTCAATAGTGTCTCGTAGCACTGGATAATGCTGACAATTGAGAGATATTATGAAAATACAGACCAGGTCTTTGTACAGCCCTTCCACACAGCCCTATATCCCAGGATATCGAGGCATAAAATCCCACAATATCTGCTTTGAACAGGGTTATCTGAGTCCACACTCAGATAATGTGGGATTTTTTGCCTTGATATCCTGGGATATAGGGCTGTGTGGAAGGGCCCGTAGTCACAACCTGCAGAGACTCAATGGTTTTCTGGTTTTCTGAAACAACATGTGCAAGGACTTCGGCAAACACTTGGAAAGTCTGATAAATGACAAATGTGTTACTTTCAGACTGACAAATTACACTGTTCTACAAATTTTCAGTTTTTCTCAGTTACGGAAACGAAATGTGCCGTTTCTTAATAAATTTAACATGCTGAATTCAAATATAATAATTAAATGTGTTAATTGGCTCTGGTTTTTATGCAACAGCTATTTCAATTTTCTCCACAATAGGTAATTTGTTAATATTATGATAATGCGCCTAACCTTACTGCATGTATATAAACCGTGAATATTTACTAAATTTTAGTCAAATTATATTGCCAATAGTTTATACATGAGAAATTTTTAATTAGTCTATTGTTTATGTTTGTGCAGCAAGACACTATATTAGTAGGCCTAATGCAGTTGAAAAGTCTGAAAGTTTAAATGTCGCTTTAATCGTGACTTTAGTTTATATCCTGTTTGCTTCTCTTGACTTTTCTTTTGTATTCAAGAAAAGGATTGTCTCTTACAATGCTCCAGCAGTAGTCTGACAGCATTGACGGAGTCCATTTGCCTTGATATCTTTTTTCCATAGTGCTTTATTTACACACGTGTGAGGCATAACTACAGTAAAAAGAACAATGTAAAACGATGTTTAACGATACTGTCTCAGTCTTCAACTGACTGACCCTCACCGTTCAAAAGTCTGGCCTTATATAGGGCTTTCTGGCTTCTGCACACGGCACTAATACTGCGTCATCAAACTTTCTAGAGTATTTTAGAATCTTCCATAGTGTAAGTCGCAACATGCATTTTTTCAAACATACATGATCACGTGATTGCTTATATCATAAAAACTAGAGCCAATATACATTTTTAAATGTCATTTTCGTTTTCAGGACCCCAAAATCATAAAAGAACAGCTATTTTCAGGCCCGCAACTTTCTAGAATCTTCCATAGTGTAAGTCGCAACATGCATTTTTTTTCAACCATACGTGATCATGTGATTGCTTATATCATAAAAACTAGAGCCAATATACATTTTTAAATGTCATTTTCGTTTTCAGCCCCCCAAAATCATAAAAGAACAACTATTTTCAGGCCCGAAACTTTTTCTCTGTTGAACAGTGTTATCAAGTACAGTGGGCACTTTGGTTTCCAGACTCCCCTGCGGATACCAAAATCTGTAGATGCTCAAGTCCCAAGGGCCTAATACAATGGTACCCCTTATAAAAATGGCAAAATCAAGTATACCTGGCATTACCTGGGTGTTGTTAGGACTGCTCCCCACATACTGTCTCCCTTCTCCAGCTCTGAGATGGCCTACCTCACAATGTCTCCATTTTTTTTGTCATGTCAGAAGCGACTTAAGAAACTGCAAGTCACTTCTGGTGTGAGAGAATTGGCTGTCTGAAAGGACATTGCCCAGGGGACGCCCAGATGATTTTATGTTTTTATCATCCTTGTGGGAGGCTTCTCTCATGTCCCCGCATGAGGAGCTGAAGCTGATAGAGGGAGCTCATCTGCCTCTCCCCGGATTTGAACCTGCGACCTATCCTGCCAGCACAGGGGTTTAACCCACTGCACCACTGGGGGCTCCTACAATGTCTCCATGACAACATGGTTCTCTTATTCATGTCAACTAACAAGATCACAGAGGGCCACTTCCCCTAGCAACAGCCCCAACCAGTGGCATCACAGAGGGCCACTTTATCTAGCAACAGCCTTAATGGTAGAAACAGATAAACATGCATACTTTGCCTTTTCCATGCATGCAGAATCCATAGATATAGAGGGGTGACTGCATACAGCAAAAAATGAAGAGGGGGGAGCATCCAACTTCTATGGAAGATTTGTTTCCCAGGATGTACCCCTCTCCAGGGGTAAGCATCATTGCTCTTCTAGGGACATTATATCTTCAACTGTAAATGCCCGAAGATACACCAGGGTGTTCAGAAACCTTTTACTGTTGCCAAATTTCTCATGACCCCAACACTGAGCAAAGGAAATTCCATTTGGGATCAGGACCCACAGTTTAAGAAATAGTGATTTATACTGACTAGTTCAAAACCAACATAGGGGGAAGTGGTATGGATGGTTTGATGGCAAGCCGTCGAACCAGGTTGAGGCCTGGATAGTGCTTATACGCAACACACAGGATGGCCTCCATCTGGTTTCAGAGCCTGCATCTTAAGAGATGCAGAGAATGTGGGTTATTTCCCTCCCAACTCCCTCTTCCACTTGAGCGGGTTGCTGGAGTGTTCCCTTGGTTCATTGCTTTTGCCATGCAGTATGGGTTTTTTTTGTTGTCGTGTCAGGAACGACCAGAGTCGCTTCTGGTGTGAGAGAATTGGCCGTCTGCAAGAA